AAGGTGGGGCAGGGGGCTGTGGGGAGGGGTCCCACCTGGTAGCGGAAGGTGGGCCGCAGCTGGTAGTTGACCATCTCCTGGTGGAAGACGGGGGTGAGGCTGCCTGAGAGGGGGGGCACGATCCAGGCCCAGTCCGCAGGACACCCCCCCCGCGCCCGCCCCTCCGCTGCCAGGTGCTTCACGAACGACTCGGTGGCCGCGTGGTGGTCCACGATGGTCACCTGGGCCACCTGTGGGGACAGGAGGAGCAATGGTCACCTGGGCCACCTGCAGAGATGGGAGGAGGTAATGGGCACCTGGGCCACCTGCAGGGACAGGGGCTGGGGGCTCTGGGAGGGAAGGGTGTCCCCCATGGCAGTGTGGCAGTGGGAGGGGGGGCTCTGGGGGTGTTGGGGTCCCTGTGACACGGTGATGGAGGTCCCAGCACTGTGGAAGTCCCCCTGGCGTGACAGCGTGGGGGGCCCGGAGTTGTGGGGGTCTCAGCATCATGGTGATGGGAGGTTCCCCATGACACAGTGGGGGGTGTCACGGAGGTGTGGGGGTCCCCTGGTGTGCAGTGGGGAGGTCCCAAGGGCAGGGTCCTGACAAGGTGGTTCTGGCTCTGGGAACTGCCCTGGCACTGGGGGCTCCTGGCACTGGGGTGGTCCTGGCAGGGGTCCCACCTGGAAGCTGTGCAGCACGGCCACGTTCACCTCCACAGCTGCCCGGTCCTTCCAGAGGGACGAGCTGGTCCCTGTGTCCAGCCCCATGCGCTGGGCCACCTCCTGTGGGGGGAATCGAGGGAGGAGTCAGCGGGGGCATCAGATGGAAGGCTCAGCCTGGGGGGGTCAGCCAGGGGGTCCCGGTGGAGTCATTGTGGGGTCCCAGAGGGACCCCGTGGGAGCTTGGGCCGAGGGTCCAAATGGGGTTCCAGTGGAGGTCCCAGAGGAGATCCTGGGGGGTCCTGGGGGATCCCAGTGGGGGGTCCCAAAGGTTCCCAATAGGCTCCCAGTGGAGTCCTTGGAGAGTCCCATTGGGTCCCAAGAAGGGTCCCAGTTGGGTGCTGGGGAGTGCCAGGGGCAGTTCCAGTGAGGTCCCAGGCTATGCCAGGGGTTCCCAGCCAGGTCTTGGGTCCCAGGATCGCACTGGGGGTCCCAATGTGATCCCAGGGGGTGCTAGAGAGGTTCTGGTAGGGTCCCGGGGGTCCTGGAGGTGCGGGGGTCTCACGGGCAGCACGTCGTAGCGGTGGCGGTCGCAGAGGTTGCGGGAGCCGATCTCGGTGCCCATGTACCAGCCGTTGAACGGGGCTGCGGGGAACTCAAGCCCCCCGATCTCCAGCAGCAGGTTGGCCACGGCTGGCAGTGCGTGCCAGCGCAGCCCCAGCTCTGAGAACCACTCCAGCCTGTGGGGGCACAGGGGGACTGCAGCTGGACCCTCTCAGACCCACGTCTATCCCATGCTGGCCCCAGCATGGGTCCCCAATCTCCATCCCACCTGCACCCCAGTATCCCAGTAGCCAGCCAGGGAGTGTGTCAGCAGACCAGTATCCCAGTCAGAGAGGATCAGCATCCCAGGATCCCACTGTCCAGCCTGGGAGGAGGTCAGCAACCCAGAGTCCCAGTATCCCGTGCAAGGAGGAGACCAGCAGACCAGTATACCAGTGACAGATGGGGCCAGAATCCCAGAATCCCAGCATCCCAGCCCAGGAAGGGTGCGGTATCCCAGTATCCCAGTCAGGGATGGGATCAGCCCCACAACAGCCCCATGTCCCCAAGTGGGGGTCCTCAACCTCCATCTCCCCTCCATCCCCTCTCACCCCATCCATTCCCTCTCTGTGGGCTCCCAGCCCAGACAGGTGTCCCAGGGGCTACCCTGGCCAGGGGGGTCCTGGGGGGTCGCAGCCCCACTCACGTGGGGTGCTGGAGTGGCACCTCGAGGACCAGCTCTGGGGGGAGCGGGAAGAGCTCGGGGGACTCGTCGGGGCCCTGCAGCAGCAGCGGCAGCACGTCGAAGCGGCCCCCCCCGGGGGTCCAGCCATGCTGGATGCAGAGCTGAGGGGGGGACAGCGTCAGGGGGGGTCACCAGGCAGGAGAGTCTGGAGACACAGGCA